CAACACTGGTCCTGTGTTTGCAGCAAGGCACAGCTGACCATGCCCGGGAACACCTAATTTCAGAGGCGTGCAGGAGAAGTCATTCCAATGGGCTCCTTTCTATGTGGACTAGAGGCTCTAAGCTCAGCCATCCTCATTCGACGTCTAAAGGAGAGCCCAGAGACCCTTCGGAGGACGCTCATTTCCATTCTTTCATTCGCTACCCACAGCTTGTGGCCATAGGTGCAGTAAGAATGCAGATTGACCAGAAAATCAAAACCTTTGCTCACACTCAGACGGATACAACCTCCAGAACACTGCAGATGTTCCACCGATCCATCTGATAAAATTCCCACTCGTCTTTTCCCCTCATTCATAAACAAAACCCCAAGACACTTGAACTCCTCCACTTTAACTGAATGAACATTTTAAATAGCACATTTCTCAGCTTAAAACGAGACTAATAGACAATAACATCATGGATAAGATATATTAGCTCCTGAGACAGACTGATTGATCTGGTTTCAATATTCCTTCCACATTTTTGAAGCTCGTGCAATTTCAGCCTGCAGTCTTAAACTTAATGATTTAAAGCAAATGAGGAAAGTCAATAAATGTACTCCTGCATGTGTTTTCCATAATGCCTGAATAATATTTACTTGTCTGAGCAACTGTTTATCATGCATACTGTATATAATTGGCTGGAAATGCTTGTATATATATATAAAAAGCATTTTCCCATTTAAAAAACTCTCACAAACTCTTCTGCCTCTCGTTGAGATGCATTACAGGCAAGAAGAGTACTGGATTGCATAAATAGCATCTTCCAAACCCACCTCAAAGGCTCTACTCAAGTGTATCAAAGTACTTGAAAAGAAATTAAATTGTTAGGACGGATGGTGCCTGACAGCTTATCAATAGAAGAGGGGGGTTTAGCAGAAGCAAAACACTAGCAGCCGGTGCTAAGATTCTGCAAATAACAAGAATGCTATTGCTGAAACCCCCAACAGATGGAGAACAAAACAAACCTGGCTGCTACATTTCCTGGTTGCTAAGCACCACCTGGAGTTAATGAATGTGTTGTCAGGCTAAGAGGCATATGAGACAAGAGGCAAAGTCAAAGTGTCTACTCAGAAGCATTAGAGAGTACCAATCTGCTGAGACTGCCGATCTGCTATTTGTCCTTGTGGGTCATTGTGGCATGCAGTTGTGTTTATACTTAGACTGCACACACACAAAAAGTTAAGTTGGAATATTAACTAGTAAAAAAAATCCCAGGTGACCACAAGTGGAAAAAGCCCGACTGTTTGGATCTGCTGACGGTACTAACTATGCTCTCATATCAGTCATAAAAAGTTATATGAAGGCTGTATGGTGCCCAGTAATACTTTTGATTTGATTTTCAGCAAAACCTGAGCTACTGCAGGCAGTTTTATAACAGAAAAAAAAGGACTCACCACACATCCAGTGGAATCAAGCTTGCGGTCTGCTATACAGCGGAAATTGCGACTGCAGCCACCGTTGTCTTTGGTGCAGTCTCTGACAGGTCCGAAGGAGTCCAGGAGAACCTCCAAAGAGTCAAACGATGAGCTGATCATCAACTCCTCTCTGCAAATACAAAAGTAATACACTAAAGTAATTACCTTCAGCCAGGTGTATCTGTGGGGCTTTCAAAAAGTATATTTCATGACTACATTTTTCTTTTTCATCCCCCTGAAAGTGAAATTTTTTATCCTGGATGCATTTCCTGACACAACCTTTACTGGGTTGTCTGCTGTCTGTTCTGTGTTTTTACAACTCTAAATTACCTTTCTTTAATGAATGGTAAAGTTACTTTCATACACATGTATAAAGTTACTTTGGCTCAGGACTGAACTGAATTCATAGTGATGCCAAACTGCCGCTTTTCTAGGACGCTTCCTGGAAACAGCTGCCAAATGAATTTCATCACATGTTATATCTGAGGTTGACTTAAACTTAGAATGGTTCTCTGACAGCTTGGATGCACTACACAAACTTTGCATCAATTGAGCAACTGAGCTCTAGTCCAACATGACTAAACAGTACAAACCTGCTATGCCTAACTTTTAAA